TTTGAGATAGGGTCTTGTCACGTAGTTCAGACTAGCCTTGAACTCATTATGTAGCCTAGGCTGGCCTTGAACTTGCAGGGATCCTTCTGCCTCTGCCTCCCAAGTGCTGGGATTACAGGCGTGCATCACCACACCTAGCTTTCCCTCTTTATTGAAGATTGAAAAACATTTAGATTTTGTGTTTGCTGTTCTAGGTTTTTCAGACAAGGCTAGATGTAAGAGAAACCTGGAATAAATGTAATTATTAATAATGCAAAAACTACCTTATTGCAAGCACTAGAATAACAATGAGGCCAGCCATGCAAACAATTCAAGTGAATTGCCATTCTTGCTTTTTAATTTCCTAGTTTTAATTCAATCGTGAGCAGATATGAAAGCTGAGGTCTAATTTACACATCTAATTTGATATAGTCCAACTTGTATGACCAGCTCATAATGCAAAAGGAGCTAAAATTCAGTGGGAGTTCCTTCCCTCTATACCTCAAACTAACATAAGTAGTATTAAACCTTTCAATAGCATAGATATTCTTGTTGTTTACCTTGCAGTGACAGATGTTTAATTTCCAATACCCTCCACATGTCATTAGGTGGAGCATGCCTACCCAGTTCACCACACAACCTCATTCCCAGCAATCTAACACTCAACCTAATTCAGACATTTGTGTTGTACTGCTCGGTCTTGGTAGGTTGTTGAGTTTCTAACTGCTGTGTTAAACTGACTTATGTTACATCAGAGCAAAGATAGCTTTGTTATCATGAAAACTAAGGAGAAGCTAGTTGGGTTTTCAAGTCTAGGAACATTTTCAGGGTTTTTTGTTTGTTTGTTTGATTGTTTGTTTTGTTTTTGTACCAGGGATTGAACTCGGGACCTTGCACTTGGGAGGCAGGTGGCAGAACCACTGAGCTAAATCCCTGACCCCATTTTCAGTTTCATAAGCCTTACCACCCCCCACCCCCAAAAAGAAAAGAGTAATTACAGCCATCCATGGAGTGTCAGGATTCCTGGAGTTCTATAAACCTCCCTTCCGCTCTGGCAAAGGAATCTGAATAGAGGCTCAGTGAGGCTGAGTGAGGCAGATCCCACAGAAGGTAGCAGAACGCTAAGATGCGATGTCCTGAGGCTTGCCCCACTCATCTCTTACAAGACACAAGAATCAACACATGAGTTGGTTCTTAACAAAAATTTTCAGTGTATCTTGTGAGATCCTTCCCTAAGGAAAAGTTCTATTCATGAGTCCTACTAGCACAATGACCTGATGATGACATTTGTTTAGCTACTCACTTCTTCAGTTTCCTCCAGAAGACTACTATCTCCATCATGACTTTGAAATTGCATTTCAAGTCACCATATTCAGTCTCAACAGGAAATAAGTTGCTATTCAGTGGCAATGAAAGGATAATAGTCAATGAAATTTAATTCATCTCTTCTATATTATCTCAACAAAATTACATTATTCTTGTTCCTATCTTCTTTATGACACAGTTGTGACCAAAGGACTTCTTTGCATCCTATTGATCAGTGGAGAAGTGATTTTATTTTTAATTCTTTCAATTTATTTGTAATTCCTGTCTCTCTCCTTCTCTTAGTTCTGTTTCATTATAGTAATGTATTAATACAAGCAATCCTGTACACTCTCACACATATTTTTGTAGAATATCATACACATTTTTTATCCTATTTCACGCCAAAACTTATAATGGATTTTTATTTCTATAAAATAAAATCCAAATTCTAATGATGTGTTCACCTCTGTTTAGCAGAAAAAGGGAAGCAGCTGAGAAATGAAAACTTTTCAGAATCTTAATCATTTGATGAACTTGAGATGACAAATGAAAGCTCTTTTAAAACACTGAGAATTCAGCAAATTGGTAAGATACAAGATGCCACTAGATGAAAGGTTTACACAATTAGTATCTGATAAATGCTCATCAATGAGAAGGGCAGCCAGATTTCAATTGGAACAAGGAGATATAAAGAAGAGGTAAGAATAAGGCAGTATATAAAGGTTGGGAGGTGAAACCATGCTACTGAACAAAGCAGGAAAACAAGAAGGAATGAGAACTTAGAGATGACTTGAGCTTTAATCTTGTTCACCCACATCTCAAAAGGTAAATTTGAATAGTCTCAACCTACAATGTTTGTTTTCTTCTTTTACAGAACTTAGATAGGGAGAAATTTGAATGTAAATAAGGGACATTTCAGTCTACCTAAAAATAAAATAAGTAAACTTTCCAGAAATTTAAAGTTCAAAAGGAATGAGAATAAGATAAATACATCACTAATGTCACTAGGAGACTTATTATCTCCTAAAAACGAAGAAGATGGAAATTCAGATAGGTTGAAAAGAAAGCCAAAAATAGTTTTGCAGTATTTCTCATTTGGAATTCTTAGAAAAGCTCTCTAACAAGTACACACCTAAGCAACATGGAAAGGCCCTTGTAGAGAAGAAATAAGTTCAATTACATAGTGACAAGACAGTTCTAAGTGGTCTAGGGCATTGTGTCTTGAAAGTTTATGATCACATCATACATGAATGAATGAATGAGAGATACGTGCACTAAGGTCATATGTCCATTCATGGGTCTGAAGTTGGGGTAGAAGAACCCTATTTCGTGAATTCATCTGCTATGATATGTGAAGACAACCAAGTCTGGTCCTCTCAGAGCTTCACAAACAGAAGGTTGAACTGTGGCATTTTCAGCCACACAGGGTTTGAAATATCCACACAGGACTGTAGAGATTTGTAGAATAAAATAACTAAATCCAAGAACACTGAACAAAAGACTAAAAAGTACTCTAGAATACTAAAATTTAGAACCTTACACTTGGCAAATTTATGATAATTCCTTTAGTTTCCTTTAGGTTATCTCCAAATTTCAGAATTCTGATAGAAATGAAGCCCTGAGGAGGACCATCATTCTTCCCTGAGTATAACATTGCCTTGGGGTAAGAACATGGTATTTTGAGCAGTTCTAGGGAAAAGTCATCCAAACCATGAAGAGGTAACAATCCCTCTGGCAGCAGTTTATCAGAAAATCCAATGTCGCAAGGAAAATCATCTAGAACATTCACAGCATGTCTTATCCTAGGGAACCCACCCCCGCATGTTTGTCTACACTGTGTTCTACCACAAAACCTCACCAGGCCAACTGAGAGCTTGTTGACTTTGGTCATGAAATTCTAACCACTGGAATTAGAGGTCATGTTAATATATTATTGTTTCAAAAATAATTAAAATAAAAATTGAACAAATATCAAAGACATAAAGTAGTCATTTTTTAATCTAATCATTGATAAACTTTGTTCAATTATCATAGTAATCATAGAAAAGTATAGCCAATCCTACAAAAGATGATGTTTAAAGTCCCATATTCCAGATACTGTTTCATATAATTGAGGCAGGAGGTGTTCTGGTCTATTTCAAAAACAGCTGCTGCTGAAGTTGGTCCATATTCTGACCAATCTTGAATCACACTGGTTATAGTTACAGAGTAGAATGAATAACTTCAGCAATGTCTTTTAAAAATTACTTCTATCTCTGATTATTTATTTTTGATTTTTGAGATAGGGTCTCACTACGTAGCCAGGCTAGCTTTGAATTCCTGGTGATCCTCCAGTCTACTTTGGAGATCTGAGGCTCAGTCCCACTGAAGACTCCCTGAAAGACTGTGTGGAACATATTTGAAAACTGTTAGAACTCCATCACTTATTGATTGAAAATTGTTTCTGGGAACGTTAATTCTCAGCCTTCCCCCATGCACCTACTTGCAATACCTTATGGGCTCAGGACATAATAAGCTACCAATAAATATTCATTAAATGAATAAATAGAATATGGAGAATTTTCTGGAGATACTAAATAAAATAGAAATAAGATGAATAAAATAAATAGGACACACGTGTAAATACTGAATGATTTCTCTGGCGTGAGAAACTGGAAGTGTAAATGAGTATCAAAATGTATAATAGATAATGTGAAAAAGGAAGAAAAGGTCCAAAGGGGAAGGCGAGGGAGGAGGGGAGGGAGGAGGGGAAGGGAAAAAATATGAGAAAAGGAAAAAACAGAAACAAAGTGTAAATAGGGAGAGGCGGAGGGGTTGAAGGGAGGGCAGGGGAATGGGGAAAAAATAAGAATCAAGATATATCATGTACAGATACAAATTCCCAATGATGAATATGATCATATTTTACACTGAAAATGTACCAATAAACTTAATGAATTTTTTAAAATAAAGAAATCCAGAAAATGTTTTAAACTTATTAATATTTTTAAAAATTAGGACTTCTGGGAAAATGGTAGAGTGGTAAGCAAACAATAGCTCAGCCTCTTTGAGGTTGAGAATCCAGATATTGGAAAATAAATTGGGGAAGAGAAAAAAAAAAGAGGAAAGTTGGTCTCAGGGAATCAGAAACACTCTGATGGAAAAATTAAAACTTACAGAGAAATGGGAGAGAAAAAACACAACACAGAAAGAGAAGGGACAGTCTGCATTTTCTCCCCAGCCCTGCCTTGTAGCTATAAATGAAGGTCAAATCTACAGAGACACAGTGAAGGTGGGGGAGTCCAGAGGACTTGAGGGAGAAACACCAGCAAGTACAGACCGCTGTGAGCTGGATATTGTAAGCTGAAACAGCTGGAAAATGACTCCAGTCCCAGCACTTGCCATACCACCTAGAGAGAGTGCTTAGTCAGAGGCCATTCCCAGAGAGTTGATTGCTTGAATCTGGAACTCAGAGCAGTCACAGAGGGCTTCAATTTGGGCTTCCAGTATTGCATGCACACAATGACTGGGTGAGAGACACCTGTGAGAGACAGCTGTGGTCAGGGAGCCATGTAAATCCCACTGCCTGCCGATGCCTCCATGCAGCACACAGGTGGGATGTGACTGCTTTTTAATCCACCAGCATGAGCAGGGACGCATCTTGACTTGGACACTCCCCTGAAATTGTAGTTCTCAGAAGAAAATCACACGTTCAAAATCACAGACAAATTTTGTTGTTGTTGTTGTTGTTGTTGTTGTTGTATTAGGGAGGGGGCTTTGATTTTTTGTGTTTTTGTTTATCTTGATTTTTTGGTTTTTGTTTTATCTGCTATGTGCAATGCTTTTAGTTTTGGTTTGGTTTTGGGTTTGTTTTTTGTTTGTTTGTTTGTTTGTTTTTCTCTCCTTTCCTCCTTTCTTTGCCAGTTTATTGGGGCTTGGAGAATTTTCCTTTGTCCTTCTTTGCTTATTTTTTTAAAGTTAATTTTATTGGTACAATTTAGATATACATAATGTTCAGGTTCATCATAGGAAATTTGTACCTGTGCATAATATATCATGATTCTTTTTTCTCCAATCCCCTCACCTCCCTTCAACCACTCTTCCTGTTATTATTTACAAAGCTTTGTTATTATTTTTCCTTTATTCTCTTTTTTCTTTTCCTTTCCTTCCTTTTTTCTCCACCCTCTCTTATTACTTTTCCCACTTGAATATTTTCTTCCTATTTCAACTTATTTATTATACATTTTGGACCTTACCCTTTCAATTTCTCACATCAGAGAAACAATGTGGTATTTAAATGTGTGTCAAATTTATTTCACTTAAGAGTATGGTCTCAAGGTGCATCCATTTACCTATAAATGTCTCAAGTTTATCCTTCTTTGTGGCAGAGTAGTACTCCATTGTGTAACTAAGAACCATACTTGCTTTATCCATTAGTCCATTGATGGGCATCTGGGCTATTTCCAAGTTTTAGCTATTACAAACTATGCTGCTATAAACATGGGTGCACATATATTACTGTGGTCTGATGCTTTTAGCTCTTTCGAGAAGATACCAAAAACAGGAATAACTGGGTCAAATTGAACCTCTAGTTTTAGTTTTTTGAGGAATCTCCATGCTAATTTCCACAGTGGCTGCACCAGTCTACACTCCCACCAACAGCGGAGAAGTGTTCCTTTTTCTCCACATCCACTCCAGCATTTTTTATTGGTTGATTTCTTTTTTCTTTCCTTTTTTCTTTCTTTCTTTCTTTCTTTCTTTCTTTCTTTCTTTCTTTCTTTCTTTCTTTCTTTTTTGTACGAGGGATCAAACTTGGGGCCTAGAGCTTGCGCAGCAGGCGGCAAAACCACTGAGCTAAATCCCAGGCCCTTATTGGTTGATTTCTTGATGGCAGCCATTCTTTCTACACTGAGATGGAATCTCAGTTATGTTCTAATTTGCATGACCAGTAGTCTTGAACATTTCTTCATGTATTTATTTGCCATTTGTACATCATCATCTGAAGAGTGTCTATTCATTTCAGATATCCATTTTTGGATTGAGTCTTTAAATTTGGGGGTCTGATTTATTGAGTTCTTTATATATTCTAGATATTAGCCTTGTGTCTGAGGAATAGCAGGCAAAAATTTCTTCCCACTCTGTAGGTTGTCTCTTCATTCTATTGGTGTTTAATTTTACTGTGAAAAAACTTTTTAATGAGACCCTTTGTTGTTGATTCTTTGTAATATTTTCTGTATGATCAGGGTTTTGTTCATAAACTGTTTGCCTATACCTATATCTTCAAGAATTCTACCTAGTCTACCCTCTAGCAGATTTAGTATTTCTGTTTTAATATTTGTATCTTTGATTTTAATTTTGTTTAGTGCTTGGTAAGAGATAAGGGTCTAGTTTTAATCTTTGGCATGTGAAAAGCCAGTTTTTCCAGCACGATTTATTAAAGAGGCTATCCTTCTTCCAGTGAAGGTGTTTGGCCCTTTTGTCAAACAAAAGGTGGCTGCGTATGTTTGGAGTTATTTCTGCATCTTCTAAACAGTTCCATTGATCCTCAGGTCTGGTTTTGTTTTGTTTTGTTTGTTTGTTTGTTTGTTTTGTGGTGGGTTTTTTTGTGCCAATACCATGCTCTTTTTATCACTGTAGTTTTGTAGTATAATTTCAAGCCAGGGATTGTGATGTCCCCTACCTTGACTTTGTTAGCCAGAATTCCTTTTGCTATTCTATGTCCCTTCTGTTTCCAAATGAATTTTAGGATTTTTTTTCTCTAATTCTGTGAGGTGTGCTATTGGCATTTTGATCAGGATTGCATTAAATCTGTGTAACAATTTTAAAAGTATGGCCATTTTCACTATGTTGGTTCTTCCTAAACAAGAGAAAGGGATATCTTTCCATGTTCTGATATCCTCTTTGA